GTCCGTCCGTCCGTCCGTCCGTCCGTCCGTCCGTCCGTCCGTCCGTCTGTTTGTTTGTTTGTTTTTATTCACAATTTGTTTAGTGTCCCAACTTTTTTGGATTCCGGTTTGTACACAAATGTAAAGTATCTGTTTAGTCAGGTCTGGTTTGGTTAAAAGAAGATGTTTGCAGCATTTCCTCTTGACAGATGGTTATGTCAAAGGGTCAGAGGTGAAATGTTCTTCAGAGACTACACTTCCTATAAAACCTTTTCTGATGCAGCTTAAAAAATAACAGCAAACTGACTAATTCTAATTCTTTGTTTCTTTATGTGACTAGTGGGAGACTTGGATATATTTTCTTTTATTTTATTTATTTATTTATTTTTAAGATTCTTATATTTCATGTCTGTGCAAAGTATTCAATGCTTGATACATAAATCTCTAACTTTAAATTGTCCCCTTTGGGTTACATTTTATGACTTGTTTGGAATCAAATCTCACATTTGTACTTATCTATATGAAAGGTTCACATTTAATCGCTTTTCTCAGAGCTCAAGGTGGGGTAATGTGTTCAACAGATGGAAGGAAGAAAAGGGAATCTGGATTTTATAGAAACTTCAGACGTGCCCGTCTCACTGATCTACTACTCTGCTATTTGCAAAATGTCTTCACAGCGCAATACCAAACTGTCCAAACTTGTTTCCATGAGAATGACCAGTGAACTCTCCATTTAATATATTTATTGATCACATCTTATTTGAGGGGTAGATGTTTATTATAGATTCATTGCATCTTTACCTGAATATTTAATTTCCCTGCTCGTTCACAGCACCGTGCGCACATGGGACGTGACTTCAGAGAAAAAGCACAAGTCTGTGTTCAAACCTCGCTCCTCTAAGGGGAAGAAGGTCATCCCCACGTGCTGCACCTACAGCCGGGACGGGAAGCTCATCGCAGCAGGGTGCCAAGATGGCACCATCCAGATCTGGGACAGAAACCTGAGCGTGAGTCCTAAATTGCACACCAAGCACCACAAATGTGCCACAGATTGTTAACATGGGATGTCTATTATATTATGGCTTCGGCACAAAGTCATGAAACTTAAGTCACAGGGCAGAGAGGGGTCACACATCAACAAAGCTCTAGTTCTGAAGAATTTAAAATGTGTGCCTTTAAATTGCATTGCACCAACAAACTTGAATCACTCATTTAAATCGCTAGGAATGTTTTTTTTAATTTGATCTGTTTTGTAATGTTGGTGGAATGCTAAATCTCCTAAAAGCAGCAAGAGAAAACGACAGGGAAGCAACAAAGTTTAAAAGAAACATCAACACAACTTATGTAAAACATTGACCGAGGTATTGCTGTTTTGACCTAAATAAATAACTCGAGGACCATGAGTCACATCAATTGTATGGCTCAAAATAGCTGTTTATGTAACTAATAACTGCCTTGTCATTATTGAGCTGAGTTACATAAAGGTTACAGGGAGGCCTAATCACAATTTACCTCTACATTTTCCCGTAATTAGTTAAATAGACAATTACATGATCAAAGCATACATTTCATTCTTAATATAAATGAGGTAAGAGTTGATCTTGGCACCCATGACGCCTGGCTCTCTGCTGACTTATTTTTCTGGAGTTATCTTTATAGAAGTGAAGTCTATTTAGGGCTCCATCTATCATAAAGATGGTTGTCTCGGTGAGACGTTTGCTTGTAGTCATCATTTAGACAACAACAGAATACTACAATGCATTAGTTCCTGCTGGCTGCTTTAGTCATAATATTCATATTCTTGTTAAAAAATGGAAAGCGGTGCACTCTTGACATAGAAAAGGGGAATTGTAGCTCACAAAATTCAATATTTTAATCAGAACAAATTGCATCCTTTATTCTAGTTTGTCTTGAGTTACCTATTAATTTACTAAGTTTTTTTTTTCACAAAAAAAATAAACAATACTTTGAAATGCTAATGTTTTTAAAGCTTTGAGGAAAATACTTCTAGTTGTGGCGTCCTTTTTTATTTACAACACCTGTTTTTACCCACTAGAGAGTCCTAAAACACTGGAAAGCATAAAAATGAGACCTAAAATTGAATTATATATATATATATAAAACACAGACAGACATTACCAAGCATTTCCTAAGAGATTTTTTTTATCATGACAGTGTATATTTGGAACAAAAATGTGCAAGCCCTTTTTCTGAAAAATAACAGGTCATTTGTTCCCCCATTTATTTCTTTCACATTGTCTTATCTATCCAATCCCTTATGGAATTTGAACAAAGTGGAAAGCTTCAGTTAAATTGTGTGAGAATGGTTATAATAACAACTAAACCGCGGTTAGTGAGTTGGAACAGCTTGATTGGAAAGAAGGGCTTATCCAGATTAGTTGAATGGGAAGTAGGCTACATGATAATTACTTCAAAAGCTAACTTCATAATCAAACGGCGGACGAACTGTGTCTTCTTTTTTCTTCTCTAAACCTATAATCTGTGTGTGTTTCTAACTTCTGGTGTCATAAAGATTCCCACCTTTTCCCCAACCACCCATCATCCCACCCCGGAGCTGCACAAAGCAGCAAGTTTTGAGTGATTAGGGTAAAGCTCTTAAAATTTATTACCCTTGCTTCTCCAAGCTAAGTATTTGCCCTGTGTCCTGTAGCAGCTTACTATAGTCATGTCTCTTTCCTGACCACTGGAGCCACTGGAGCCTGTCCTGTCTGAATGGCTGAAGAATTTTACTTTGTGCCCTCTGCCCTAATCAGCAACCTGTGCTGCTGACTCAAATTCAGCCACAAGCCTAAAAAGGAGTTGACCTCTTGATGCTTTTATTGCTGCTCCCTCCCCCACTAAAATGAAGCTGATCTCCTGTTATGTTGCTACTATTACTCATGCCCAAAATATGCAGGGAGGTCAATCATGGTCAATCATGTACATGACCTTCATCTATAGATCAGTCCAAAGAGAAGCTATTAAAGATGACACATTGTGCTCTTCAACCATGACGTGAGCTGACTGATTCTGTGATGGGAGTCAAACAGGTCGCTTTCAGTGGACGGCTGCAGAGAGTGATTGCATCTTTGTTCTCTGACCACAATTGTGCGCGTGCATTTATGTTGTTGCCAGGTTATGTGCACTCTGTGATACGGGGCGCAAATCTTCTTTCCAAACGTTACCGCAGAGGCTCGAGGAATGCTGTCATTGGTGAATTTTATTTCCAGACTTCAAAGTAGGCGCACACCAGAGATGGTTTTGATAAATCAGTGTAAGTGTTTTAATCACATGGCACGGCAAACTTGGTGCACTACAAAAGATGTTTCTCTTTCTACTAGGGTTTGGTGGAACGTATTCATATTGCATTCGCATACAAACAGCAACAGTAATATTACCATTACTTTCAATGCCGCCATCATGCAAAAATATTTGTAGGTACAGTAGTCCCTTGTTTATCACGGTGTTTCGGACCACGTCCCCCGGCGATATGTGAAAAACTGCGAAGTAGGGACACAGTAGTCCAAGATCAAGTAAACTTTATTGTCATTACCATCTCATGTGGTACATGAGATGGAACGAAATTATGTACACAAGTAGTAGTAGTAAGTAGTAGTTTATTTTAGTAGTTATATACTAGGCCTGAAGGATTTTGGTCAATATTCTAATTGAGATTTTTTTTTAAACCTGAAAATTGCGATTTAATACGCGATTATTTTTCAATGTCTTCTTCTCATGTATTTTTCAATGAACACAATAAATAAATAAATCTGTTTCAGTTGCAAAAAACTCCACTGTTTTCAGCTCCGCTGCAGCTCTGTTTCTGCATTGTTTGTATAGCTCCGGGATAGCAACTTGGCTAAAATGTGTGCGCAAGGGCATTCTGTACCACTTATCCATTGTTTACCAAAGCCGTAAACCCAGTCTTGGTCACTATATTAATGGGCATCATGTCTTTCGCTATGAACTCTGTTATTGCTCGAGGTTTTTCCACGTGCCTTTTCGAATTGTGTTCGTACAGAGTAATATCTTTGAACAGTTCGGTCAGTGATCCCTGTCAGCTGGTACTTTGCTGACTTGAAGTTGAAGCACTGGTCATTGACATGTGCAGTGTCTTCATTTTTATAGCCCAAATAATTCCAAACAACAGACGTGCTGCCCCTCTTTGGTACCAAACTTTCAGATGTGTCAGCTTCTGTCGAGCCTGACACCATTGTGCAACCAGTTAAAACACAGTGTTGACTTCTCCCGCTCCCTGCTCTGATTTGCTCCGCTCACTCGTAAGTCACGTAACCAGATCATGTGACCAGTCAATTTGCAGCCTTTGCAATTAGAAAATGTCATTTTATCATATCACAATATTATTGCAAATACAATTAATTGTTCAGCCCTACTATATACAGGTATATATTAAGGTGTTTTAAACCCTTCCCACACTCTTGCAATGTCCCTAACAATTTTCTAAATTCTTAACGCTCTAAAAGAGCACAGCATGTCATGATTTTAGCTCTCGGCCTCCGGCTGCTCTCTGCCAACCTGCCAGCCCTCTCGGCCACGCCCACTTCCTCGCTGCAGAACCGAGATCTGACATGTTGCACGAGGGACCTTCTCCCTGCACCTGTGGGCTGCACGCAGTTGCTGCAAGTGCTAAATAATTTTAAATAATTTATTTTAAATAAAGATTCCATGCCGATCGTGCGGCTCATCCATCAATCAGCCAACTGTGTGTCATGTCCAATCTTATTTTGAAAAACCGCACTAACATAACGTGTTTTTTTTTATTTTATTTTAATACTTTTGTTGGATGTAACTGGGACCCTGTGTACACAATTTCATTCCATCACATGTATCACATGTGGTGTATGTATCAAATAAAGAAACTCTGACTCTGATAGAGCGAGTCCGCGAAAAACAAACCACTAAGTAGCAAGGGACTACTGTATATTCTGCCATTCACCCTGCTCTTTTTACAGCTTTATAAAGTAACTTTAGAGTTTCTGTAATGACTAAACTAGTGTAAATTCAAAGCTTATTCTATCAACATGTTACTAAGCAGTTATTACTATTATTATTAAATTTCTATTTTACTATTAAAATTATAACCTTTCACAATTGTACCAAGAACTAACTCCTCCAATGTTAATGTTAGTCTTTCACAGTTGTTAACTGTTGTGTAGATTTGAGTTTACATCGTGGATGATCCAACAGAAGCTCAACTGACTGGTTTTCATAGAGAGCTTGTGATCCATAAAGGTAGCAATTACAAAGATCTACTAGTACCTGCTTTCCCTCTGAGTGGGCACACCTTCACATCTGGTCAACAGCTGGAAATGTTGCAAGCTTGCTGCTCCGACCAGATAATGAGAATATGTTGGTGGGCTTATTTGCAACAAATTCTGTAACATCATGAACCTTTTTATTCAAGTCGTTCTGCTTATTTATTGTTAAATCACTTTGTTCTGTGATTATATAGCAATGAAACTATCTCGCCTCTAACATGAGAAAATAACTTCAAATACCTTAAATAGCATGCAGTGATAAAAACAGCATTACAAGCTTGTCTAAGCAGATGGTAATGATTTATGCAGAGGTTTAATTTGTGGATGGTTTTCTGGTATAAAAGTGGATTTCACCCAGCTCTAGTCACTGCAGTTATACGTATATTCTCAGTGCAACCTTTAAAAATGTAAAACATATGCTTAGAAGCAGTTCTATGACCCAGGGAGTGAATATTAATCACACAAGTCCATAAGGCTATCTCTGGTGACACCATCAATTATAAACATTTAGTTTAGCACTTGGTTTATTGTTTCTGTCCTGGTCATGCAAGTTGTCTCTTGAACTGTCTTTAGATGTAGCATTTGGCTGAAGAGTAATGTTTTTCAGGAATGACTTATCTTTGCCCACAAAATTGACTTTCTGTGTGTTACCGAGTTGGAGGGGAATACGATTCCTCGAACTTTTATTGGATTATTCGACCCCTCATTCCAGTGTGATTCCCCAGCACACAAAGCCTCGCCATCACAACTTGTTGATTTCCTTGAAAGATCAGAGCAGCTGCTCTGGACTGTGGTTTGGCTACTTGATCCCCCCCAGATGGTAACAAAGGTCAGAGTGAGATGTGAAACTGACTGCACAGTGGGCATCATTGTCCTTCAGGTGTGCAGTTGTAAAAATATGAGAGAAGTAGGAGACATAGAGACGTGCAGTATTTATATAATCAAGCTCAACGTGATTTGGAACAGTTGGCGCTGTAGTCGATTGTTATCATAGTCTGCTGAGGATGAAATCCAACGCTGAGTTCTTTCTGCTATTTATCAGTGCCTGCTGCAGAAAGTGTGTGCATACGTAAGTGTGTGTGTGTATGAAATTATCTTGCGTAGAATTGCTATATTATGTTTTAAAAATGGGGTTTAAACACTGCAAGTGCTAACAGCAGATGATTTTAGTCTTAGGGATGGCTGTTAAAAGCCTTCTGGGGTGATTCATTCCAGGTCAAACAAGAGGTCTAAACTTGTGTTTTTAGTTGACGTGAGAATAAAATCTGTGGTTTTAGTCAAAGCTTTGGTTGGAACAGGTTCATTTATAGTGAAAGGAACAAAACAAACATCTGCACAGATCTCTGGTGCTATGTAAAGTAGAACTTGTTATTTCTGTGTAGAACGTTCATAGCATATTTCCATTTTGTGGACTTTATTTTAAATTAAAGCTTAAAAAGTATCCTGAAAAAATGGTCGAACACCCAGCTTCATACAGCGTCACATGGCAGAGTAATTGCAACATAATTTATGTTCAGCTCATCCTTCGTTTCATTCTGTGCTGAGTAACCGTGCAAGTATTGAATAGGTGTCACAGCCACACGTATGGCACCTTCACTGCTTCTCATTTGGACTGAGATGGTTACTGTCAGTTTAGAAAATGTAATTTATGCTTTAAAACATTCTTTCCTACATTTCTTTTTTTACAAGTTAATTTTGGAGCAGACAACAAAAGAATGGGCAGATACTTAAAGATAACTTACTAGAATAAAAGCATCGTGTCAAATGTAATCTGTGAATAAAATAATTGGAAGCAGAAAGTTATTGTCTGAGGAGACCAAACCTGGAAAAGTGTAATCCTTGTTATCTACAGTCCAAGGTAACTGTGTTATCTGTCTCAAGCAAGTTAATAACTTCCCTTCACTCACTTGGAAGGTGAAGTATGGCCTCTTATTTCTGTTATCACGTGGGCACATCACTCATTCAGCTCATGCTCCACTCTCTCTCCTGCAGTTTTTGCCAGCTTTTCTCTCACTGTCTTTATCTTATCTGTGTTCCACAATGTGTGCTCACTTCATATTCCTTATCCCCTGTTTTTTGGTCAACAGCCCACTGTGCTGCAATTCTCTTTTCACCGATTTATTTGCATTCCGTTTAGAATTAATGACAATGTAGCCACATAAACCAGGGTTATGTTTGTTTGAGTGTTGGCGAGCCCACTTCCCAGACTATTGCTTCACCAGAGTCTAGTAATGATCGATCTCTGTAATCTGGCTGTACTCAGGCCAGGTAAAGCTAAGGTACTGAGTAGTGAACCTGGGAGGGGCCAGGGAAAAGCAAGGCAGATGAGGTTCAGCTGTCTGAAAAATCTCACTTAGTCTAAATAAAGTATAGTAGTTTTATTTCTTTCGTAATTCAAAGGATTAATCAAGAGATACAAAAAAATATCAAAATAACTAATAATAGCATAAATTTTGGGGTTACTTGTTAAATCAAACTCTGTTAAAAACTAAACCAAAAAAAAAAATTGCTTTTTCTGTAAACCTAGATTGTCTTTAATTGGGTTATTCCTAAAAAAACATGGTGCTGAACTGGGCTATTTCAGTCTGAAGAAGCTAACTTGGCACACTAATCTCAACAACATTACACCACATGCTTAGCTAGCACTGAAGAGTTACTGAATAGCATCTCGAGAATAGCTGTTTAAATGAAAATAATTGGTGTACAGTAGTCCCTCGTTTATCGCTGGGGATCCGTACCCTGAAGCTCCATGATAAGTGAAAAACCGCGAAGTAGGAATAGTAATACAAGTATGGTAGTACGTAGAAGTTCATTTTAGTATTTATATATATATATATATTTATATATACATGTAATATATATTACAGGTGCTAAATAATTTAAAATAATTTATTTTAAATAAAAAATTTCATGTCGATCGTGCGGCTCATCCATTAATCAGCAAATTGTGTGTCATGTCCAATCTTATTTTGGTAAACCGCGATAGAGCGTGTCTGCGAAAAACGAACAATGAAGTAGCGAGGGACTACTGTACCTGTTTTTTTTTAATTGATTCATTCCAGACATGTCAAAACCATTGACCTATCCATGTACACATATCCATATACATGTGCACACACAGATCCCATTTAACATGTCTGAAAAGGGGTAGGAAGAAGTAAAACTTATTTAATCCAACCCCTTCTCCAGGAAGGGGAAAAAAGTTTATCTGATATTTTATAAAGCTGCATAAATTATTTTAATCCTATAAGCTTCAGAAATTACCGACTACTTTAATCTTTCTTTACCTTAAAATGAAGTGGGACTCTTCTTTGATTTTTAATATTAAATGCAGATGATCGCAGCCAGGATGAGAAATTATTTATAATGGGTATATACTGTAGCAACATTAACAGCGATTGCTCACAAACAATGAATTTGGCATGTGATTTTGTAAAAATGTTGCCTTTTGAAAGCAGCTATTTTTCTCAGGTACAGCTATGCAGTAACACTCATCAAAAAAACTGGACTACAGATAGTTTGGTATTCTTGTTTCATTCTTTTTCTTTATGTTTCAAATGCAATAAAAATGGTACAAGTTCCTCTGACTGTTTTAGGGCGAAATGTGGTATATTTATTTTATTTGGCGTTTAAAATCTGACATTGAAAAGTTTTTTTCAAATTCTCTACAAAGCTGCTGCTGTCTAAAAGTCAAAGCATCTGAACTTTTATAAATAATCCTGGTTGTGATTTATCAATGACAACAGTGGCTAAAACTTCTGAGGAAACATTTGTAACATAAAATGTGTAAAAGAATGGCCTAGATTGGAGCGATGTCAGCCAGAGCTGAGGTTTCAGCAGAGATGTGAAGGTTGTGTATAATCGTCAGTGAACTGTACGTGTAATACCAGGAAGGCATTTAAAAGTTTGCCAAGGTAAATGTCTGTGGCGATGCTAGAGTGTGTTAACTTACTAGTATTTCATGGGTTGAGGTGGGTTTTGTAGTTATATACTGTAGTTAGGTGTTCGTGATAGTGACGAAAACCAAGTTCTGTTTTAAAGACAAAAGTATTTTTGATACATCTGTGATATTAAATCAAAGTACTGGCTTTTTCATATTACAAGACATCGTTAACGTTTTTTTCCCTTTTACCCACAGTTACATAGATGTCTGAAACCAGACCATGAATTTACACTCCAGCGTTGATTAATTGTTGTAATTATTTTATTTTCCTTTTCATCTTAGGTTCATACAAAGTTTCACTCTCCGCAAGCCCATGCTTCAGGATCAGACACCTCTTGTCTGTGCTTTTCATATGACGGCGTGACTCTGGCTTCACGTGGAGGTAAAGTAAACTCGAAATGAGCCAGACCACCCCAACTAGCTACAGCACGTTAAAGTTGCATTCATTTGCTTCTGAGCATTTAGGCTTTATGTTGTTTTTAATTACTGATAAAAATTGCTGGATTCTTACCAGTATATATAATAGATGTTTGTGTCTTACAGAGTCAAAAATAAACTGATGACTCTCCATTTCTCACCCACTGACAAAACAGAAAAGTAACAAAAACTATAGAAACAAAATGTTTAGCTTCTGCTTGGTATTAATTTATCCAAGAAGCTTGTAGCATAAATCTTACAGACAATACAATAACTTGTAACATAAATAACTCTTGAGTTTAAGTTCTTTTTTAACTTTATCATAAGTAGATAACATAAAATATGTTTTATCGTTTACACTTTAATGGTGAATCAAACTTTCTTTGCTAGGTGATGACACACTGAAAATTTGGGATATTCGTAGCTTCAGGAAGCCTCTACATGAAGCTACCAGACTGACCAACTACTTCTCTATGTGAGACTTATCCACTTTTATGTTAATTACAATCTGTCTGTTTGTTGTCATCAAAATTAATGCACTACTTGTGGATTTTAAACATGTGTGTGGAACATTTTTCTGCAGGACCGACTGCTGTTTTAGCCCAGATGACAAGCTTGTCGTCACAGGAACCTCAGTGAAGAAAGATGAAGGAAATGGAAAGCTGGTTTTCTTTGACCGAGTTTCTTTCCAGAAAGTCTATGAAATTGAGGTCACCAGTGCTGTAAGTTGTGCCTCGATCCTCACAAACACAACTGCTCTCATTACAGTTTATTTTTTCGGCTTGGTTACAAACAAATATGTACAAAATGTCTGAATCCACAAGGACATGTAATGAAATGATGGATGTGCATTTTGATGTCAGTGGTTTAGTTTCACGCAAAGCCACAACCTTAGAAAGTTTGTCTGTGCTCTTTAAAAACAAAACAGCAAATGGTATTGACTTCAGATGCAAAAACATTTGCTCTCAAGTACAGACAAATAGCATTTCTACATAACATTTCATCTTTACGGTTGGAAAATTTACATTTACCTTGAAGGTAAGCATGAAAGCTAACGCTAAATACATTGCAGAAAGAGAAATCATTTTTCCCATCCATTCATCCATCCATTATCTTTTACCTGCTTCTTCCATTTTGGGTCACGGGGGTCGCAGGTGCCCATGTCCAGCAATCACTGTGCGATGGGCTGGATACACCCTGGACAGGTCGCAAGTCCATCACAGATCCTTTTTCCCATATTCACCAAATCTTTATGTTCTAACTGAATGTTTCTACGAACTAAATGTTTGAAATTAGCATTATTTTACTAACAAAACTGATTTGTCTTGATCTTCACATTGATAAAAATACTGTAACATTTTGGGAAAGGAAAGTTAGAAAGCAGGCAGCACAGTGGCGCATTAGGTAGAACTGCCACATCTCAGCGAGCAGGTCACCCCAGTTCAAATCCCAGCCGGGGGCCTTTCTGGGTGGAGTTTGCATGTTCTCTCCGTTCATGCGTGGGTTTTCTCTGGGTACTCTGGTTTCCTCCCAATGGCAGCAGCTTGAGCAAGGAGGCCCAGACATCTCTTTCCACATCTATCTCTTCCATCTCTTCTGGGAGGATTCCAAGGTGTTCCCAGGCCAACCGAGAGACATAATCTCTCCAGCATGTCCTGGGTCTTCCCAGGAGTCTCCTCCCAGCCCGACATGCCCAAAGCACCTCCCTAGGGAGGTGCCCAGGGAGCATCCTTACCAGATGCCCAAACCACATGAACTGGCTCCTCTCAATGTGTAGAAGCAGCAGTTTTACTCGGAGTATCTCCCGAATAACTGAACTTCTCACCCTTTCTTTAAGGAAGAGTCCAGCTACACTGCGGAAGAAACTCATTTCAACTGCCTGTATTCCTGCTACCTCCAGATAACATCACCAGTTGAGGTCAACAGCATCCCACCTTCACTGAACACAGTGTTAGTGAAGTGCTGCTTTCCCCTTCTCAGCCGCCTGATGGTTTGCCAGAATCTCCTCGGAGCTGACCGAGAGTCTTTATCCAGGCCTCAACAAACTCCTCCCACGTCCGAGCTTTTTCCTCAGGAACAGCCAAGGTGCGGACCGCTTGGCCCTCCGGTATTCCTCAGCTGCCTCCTGAGTCCCACCAGCCAACAATGACCGATGGGACTGTTTCTTCAATTGACAGTCTCCCTAACCTGGGGTGTCCACCACCAAGTTCAAGGATGGCCACTGCAAGAAATGCCAACAACCTTGCGGCCACAGCTCAAGGCAGTTACTTGAACAACTGAGGCATGGAACATGGCCCACTCAGACTCAATGTCCCCCGCCTCAGCTGTGATGTGGTTAACCACACCTCCGGGAGAGCTTTAAAGCTCTCCCGGAGGTGTGAGTTGAAGATCTCTCTGACAGGTTCTTCTGCAAGGCATTCCCAGCAAACCCTCACTGCACGTTTGGGTCTACCGGGTCTGTCTGGCCTCTTTCCCCACCATCTGATCCAACTCACTACCAGGTGGTGACCAGTTGACAGCTCAGCTTCTCTCTTCAACCAAGTGTCCAAAACAAGCGGCTGCAAATCAGATGACATGACTACAAAGTCAATTATCATTTTATGACCTAGTGTGTCCTGGTGCTAAGTGCACTTATGGACACTCTTATGTTAGAACATGGTGCTCGTGATGGACAAACTATGACTAGCACAGAAGTCCAACAGCAAAACACAGATCGAGTTCAGATCGGAGAGGCCGTTCTTCCAATTCACGCCCCTTTAGGTCACACTGTCGCTACCTACGTGGGCATTGAAGTCCCCTAGCAGAATAAAGGAGTCCCCAGCTGGTGCACTTTCCAGCACCCCCACCAAGGACTCCTAAAAGGCAGGATATTCTGAACTGCCATTTGGCGCATAGGCACAAACAACAGTCAGAGCCCATCCCCCCACCTGAAGGCATAGGGAAGCCACCCTCTCATCTACTGGGGAAAACTCCAACACACAGGCACCAAGTCAGGGGGCTAAGAGTAGACCCATACCAGCTCGTCACCTCTCACCATAGGCAACTCCAGAGTGGAATAAGGTCCAGCCCCTCTCAAGATTTGTTCCAGAGCCCATGGTGTGCGTCGAGATGAGCCCAACTATATCTAGTTGGTATCTCTTAACCTCACACACAAGCTCAAGCTCCTTCCCTGCCAGAGAGGTCACATTCCATGTCCCAAGAGCCAGATTTGGTAAGCCAGGGTCAGAGTGCCAAGGTCCCCACCTTCGGCCGCGGCCCATGGCGTCATGCACCAGACCCATATGGCCCCTCCTGCAGATGGTGGTTCCACAGGAAGTTACTGATTCAGGCTGAGCCTGACCGGGCCCCATGGGTAGAGACCTGGTCACCAGGGGCTCGCCGACCAGCTCCTCTCCCAGGCCTGGCTCCAGGATGGGGCCCTAGTAACCCACGTCTGGGCAAGGGACACTGAGTTCCACGATTTCTTTTGTCCATATAAATCTTCTGAATCGCTCTTTGTCTGGCCTTTCACCTAAAATCAATCTGCCTTGGGAGACCCTACCAGGGGCAATTAAAATTGCTCCAGACAGCATAGCTCCTAGGATCATTTATTGGGGCGGCTGTGGCTGAGTGGTTAGAGCAGTTGTCCTCCAATGCAAGAATTGGGGGTTCGAATCCACCAGCAGTCACATGTCGAAGTGTCCTTGGGCAAGACACTGAACCCCTCGATGCCTCCAATGTGTGTCCCATCAGTGTATGAATGTGATAAAGCACTGATTAGTCTCTAGGATGATTTGATCACTTAGCTTCGTAGAGATCTAGTAGAGCTGTGTGAATGGGTAAATGAGGCACAGATTGTAGTGTAAAGCGCTTTGAGTATCTTGATCAGATAGAAAGGTGCTATGGAAGTACAGTCCATCATTCAGGCGCACAAACTCCTCTACCACGATAAGGTGGCAATTCAAGGAGGAGAAAACAAAAAACATGCATGTTCTGTTGATTGGTAACTCTAAATTGTCCTTAGCTGTGAGTGTGAGAGTAAATGGTTGTTTGTCTCGTTTGTCTCTATGTGGCCCTGTGATGGATTTGCGACCTGTCCAGGGTGTCCCCCGCCTCTCGCACAGTGATAGCTGGACATGGGCACCTGTGACCCCTGCCACCCGAAAAGGAAGAAGTGGGTAATGATGGATGGATGAATGGATGGATGGATGGCTGGATGGATGGTTGGCTGGCTAGCTGGCTGGCTGGCTGGCTGGCTGGCTGGCTGGATGGATGGATGGATGGCCGGATGGATGGATGGACGGATGGATGGATGGATGGCCGGACGGACGGACGGATGTATGGAAAGCACTGAAATAAGCAAATGAAGGCAAGAGCAATGGTTTTAAAAAAAGGTAAGTGGCAAGACTGGAATACAAGTAATGTGATATTTTTTCCTACTCTAAGTCATTCCCACAAACCGTTAAGACAGTAAAAACACTCTTATATGGGCTGCCTTTCAGAGCTGAAATCAAATTATCTACTGCAAGTAGATGATGTGTGTAAAACTAATCCAAATTCTCAGAAATCCACTTCATCAAGGGCAGCCAGCCATATGTGTTAAACTGAAGAACTGAGGTGGTTTCAGCTGTGAAAAAAAAAATCTGTGTCTAGTCATAACACAGGTTTCTCAGGTCTACTGACTGAGACATGAAACTAAGACACAAGCAATCAAATGAACATGTTCAATGGTGAGTGTAAGAAACAAAACACGGTTTGTGTGTGCCTTCTACCAAGTCAGTCAGCTATACAAACTTTTATAGAAACTTTTGCCCAGCATCCACATCAAACACACACAAAACTTCATAACTGATCTAACCGTTTTTAGGGCATCAAGATGGAATTTGTGGAAATCTTTTGAATTTCAGCAGACTGCAGATGGAGAACAGAAGGCAAAAGGTTTTGCTTAGCTTCTAGTGAAACTGAGCTCAAGTTTTCAGAATTTCTCACAATGGCCGACAGTGGAACAAGTGAAAGGCCAATGGAAAAATCACTTCCAAATGTTTACCCTCTTTTTAGTAAAGTGAAAGAGGAGACAAAATGGGATGCAAGGGAGGGCTGTTCAGCTATAAACAGACTATGACCCAAAGTGACTGAAATTTTTTTTTAATGCTTCCTTTCTTGAGAGTGAGCTCAAAGACTTTTGTCAAGAATATAAATGACCAACGTTAAGTGCTTGGTCTCAACTTATAAATAACCATCCACATGGGGTTTGTGGGATTTTCATCTTAACTATGCAACTTACTTTCCCTTGAGTGACACAATTACTACCAAGTCTATAAAAGTCAAGTGTACTTTAACTGAACAGTGTACACATCTGTCAGCTTTGTCGAACATTATCTTCAACAATGCTGGAATTCTGGCTTTAGTGAAGACAATTTCAGACCTGAAATATTCAACAACACATAATTGCATAAACAACATTATTGGGAGACAGATTAGTGTTTCAAAAGAGGTACTTGGTCTTAGCATCTATGCTGCCGTATAAAATAAATATTCTTAGCATTTTTATGTATGCATTCAGTGAATTGCTTTTAGTATTTCTTGATAAGACTACACTGACAGAGTCATGTTCTGTCTCAATTAAGTGTATGCAGACTTGAAAGCTTACATTTAAGTTTGATATTTTCCCCATTTTGGTAGAGAAATGTTAGTATTATATCATATCTACAGCTTTAAACACTTCTTATCCCTGTTTAAGGCG